TTGGTTATTGTGGGTGGGTGACGCACATGCGTGTATGTGTGGTTGGTTGTTGTGAGTGGGTGACGCACATGCGTGTATGTGTGGTTGGTTGGTTGGCGTGGGTAGGTGTGACCATGGAGACTGACAACTATGTACAAAGGACAACTGCACACGCTCTCTCTACCCTCCCCGGTTTAGACATTGGGTTATTTTTTTATAAGTAAAGGTCTACCAACCCAGTGCCAGTGAGCCACGTGGGCGTACTGCACCTCCTGATAGCTGTCCTGGCATATGCGAACGCTTTCATAGGTTTGTATCACGAAAACGTTTCGAGCGAGTAGGCTGGGATAGAGGGGTCCTACATCACTACGAGATCTGACGCGCAAGACGTACATGGGGAATACAAAGTGAATACTCATCTGTATAGAAAGTGAAAGAGTGACACTGGTAGCTCTAAAGGTAGGCACACACCATACACTCGCTATACTTCATACACAAAAAAACCCCAAACCGAAACACAAACACAAACCAATCCCATACACGACCTAAAGTGTAGTATATATGTATATATACACATTCTTAAGAAAGTACACTCACGGTTACTGGCTATAGCCATGCCCATGTACAGCCACACCCACCTTTACTCGAATCCGCCTTGTTCAGCGGTCGGGGCACACACACACTCGTGCACCTCAGGGCCGGTGCCACGGCCACACACTCGCGCACGCGCAACGGTAAGTCCCGTAGTGCCCTGAGCTGTTTGGACAGACTCTCGTACGTGTGCAGCAGATGCGACTTCGCGTTGACCTCCGTCTCCTCGGCGTCCACTCCCGACGTCATCAGCTGGTTGCTAAGCAACAGGTCCGCCTGCGGCCCCACGGCGATGACGTCATCGCCGTCGACCACGTGGCCACCGATACCGAATCGGGTGAGCACGTGCTTGCACACGGTGTACGGCATATGGGCCTGGGTGCCCTGTAAGGTGCCTGTGGGACTGAATTGGACCGTTTCGTGCATGGCACCGTCTTTGAACAGACGAAGTTCGGTACTTTCTTCACCCCAGAAGGCACGGAACGCCTGCGCGCCCGAGGCATCGGAAGGGCCTGGACCTTTCTCAATGGCTCTGCGACGAGCGAGGAAGGATATTTAGTTATATATATATATATTTATATATATGTATATATATATATATATACATATTATATTAATATATATATACATATACATATACATATATGTATATATATTCATACATTCATTCATACATACATACATACATACATACATACATACATACATACATATAAATATATATATATTGCTGTACGTATACATGGCTATACTACTGTGCCGATGTGCAAGATATACAAGACACATATTTCATAGTGAACTGGCTTGGAGTTGACCAGGGAGTTCATTAGCCCTTGCATGTCGTCGTCTATAGTGTGACTCGAGGCTATCACCAATCTCAGGGGTACTGATATGAACACACATACAATTGCTGTATCATACACTCACTAACATTGTGTGCATCGATGCACGTATACGCCTGCTTGAAAGGTGCATGCACTCACCTGCACAAGTTGTTGGGAGAAACGCACGTCCCTATGGTGAAGTGCATGTGCTTCAAAGTGAACTTGTGCTTCTAAATGGACTTGTGCTCACACAATGTAGTAAACCCCCAGGGACCAAGCAGCCTGTCACACACCACACACCAACAAGCGTGTACGTAGGTCACCAGACACAACACCATCACACTAACAAGCGTGTACGTTGATCATCAGACACAACGCGTTACCTGTACGCGTTGTTGGGGTCCATGCGCATGCCAATGGTGAACAGAACGTGCTTCTGAGTGGATTTGTGTTCACTCGGAGTAAGTGCGGCGTGTGGCGAACTCGCCGTAACAGGCCAGTCGCAGTTGGTCCACAACGACCCATCCGTCTGTAGAGATACGTAGGCAAGGGTCAATACGCACGCATGGGGCTATGATCTGGTGGGGTCATAGGTAAGGGTGGGTGGATATGCACGCATTTGGATATGATCTCATGAATATAAATCTCATGAATACAAATGTAAAGGTGAGTCTCCCACATTGTTCTATGTTTTCAAGGTGGGGATTCATGGCGTTTATAGTGACGTTCGCGTAATATGCTCAGGGTTTAGGGTTTTAGCGCGTGGTATAATATGTTTACAACCGACAATACAGATCGAGTTGTAGGTGATCACACTGTTGATAGATTTGGCTTGGTTATCAGAGACTCGTTTGAGAGTGTACAGGCGTGTGTGATAGGAATGTATCCCAGGCACACGTTCTCATGGATGACGAGATTTTATGAATATTTTATGTTCTAGGTAGTTAACACTATCGCCTATAGAGTATATAAATATATATATATATATATATATATACATACATATACATACATATA